TCCCAAGTAGCTGGGACTACAGGTGCCTGCCACAATGCCCAGCTATTTTGGAGATGGGATCTCACTCTGGCTCAGTGTGGTCTGGAACCTGTGAGCTCAGGGCAATCCACCTGCCTCAGCCTCCCAGAGTGCTAGGATTACTGTATTCTTTTTTTTTCATATTACTTTTCCAGTAATTATATTTTACAAAAGTGCTTTTAGAAAAGTACTAATCTGGCTCAGCGCCTGTGGCTCAAGTGGCTAAGGTGCCAGCCACATACACCTAAGGTGGCGGGTTCGAATCCAGCCTGGGCCCGCCAAACAACAATGATGGTTGCAACCAAAAAATAGCCGTTGTGGCAGGCGCCTGTGGTCCTAGCTACTTGGGAGGCGGAGGCAGGAGACCCGCTTGAGCCCAGGAGTTGGAGGTTGCTATGAGCTGTGAAGCCACAGCACTCTACCCAGGGGGATGGCTTGAGGCTCCGTCTCAAAAAAAAAAAAGAAAAGAAAAGAAAGAAAAAGAAATTTTTAGTTGCAAAAAAACCCACAAACTCACAGAACAGGAGTTTGTTTAATACAGAAGAAACAACATATAAGATAACTGATATGAAAAAAAACTAGGACTCTCTCTCTTTTTTTTTACAATTTCTGGCCAGGGCTGGGTTTAAACCTGCCACCTCTGGCATATGGGGCCACCGTCTGACTCCTTTGAGCTACAGGCACCGCCCAAAACTAGGGCTCTTTTCAGGGTAAAGTAAGCCAAGGAGGTTTGTCAGTGAAGTGTGAGAAGGCTGCATCGGATTCAGGAAGGGGGGAATGGTAGGGGCATTTAAGCAGAGAACTGCCAGAGCAAAAGAGGGAGCCAAGGTGAAGAAATGAGTCTAACAGGAAATCAATCAGAAGGGAGGTTAGAACTGGCTTTATGGGAAAACCTTCTCTTTGTCCATCAATTCAAAGAGTTAGGACATAAACCAAGTAGCCACTGAAGATTCTGATCTAGAAAACAAAATGATCAAACTGGAGTCACATATATCTTAACACCACAACACAGTCAGTTTAGCCACTGTCCTGAATGGTCTCGATCTCTTTTTCTTTCACTGCACTCACCCTGCAAAAGCCTATAAACTGAGATCAATGCAGTCATCTGCTTTCTAGCCTCTTCAGCTCAGATTTGCAGGACAAAACCAAACAACTCTGTATTAACGATGCACTACAGATATACAACCTCCATCCTGAGCAGGGCCCTCAACTCAGTCCAGCAAATTTTTTCAGTCTTCCTGGTCTGCTTCACTGGCTCCTCCCAAAAAACAGCTGTTCTTAACTTTCCTAATCATTATCCTCAAGCCTCTTGCTCCACTGCTTCCTATACCTCTTCAGCTAATGTTTGTACCTCCTTTCCTCTCGGGAACAATTGACACCATCAGTCTTAACTTCCTGTAGCCAAGCCTAAAAACATACACATTTCAAATACCCCTACCTCTCTGCTTCTTTTTTTTTTTTTTTTTT